ATTCTATCTCAAAATCCGTTCCCCTTCTGGATGTGCTTACTTCAACTGAAGTGAGCCTTACTTAGTTTTGTCTGGTTTTGGTTACAAATCCTTACAGACAGGGTGCCAGTCGCCTACATCAGACAGACACTAGCGTTGCAAAAGTTGGGGGCTGATGCAAAGGAGGGGATGAAGGAAAATAAGAGGGCGAAGATAGGTGAATGTGGATGAGGTTGAAGTCGTAAATGTAGGGAAGTGAGGGAGGAAGCAAAGAGCAAGTTTTTGCCACAGCAGAATTAGGAGCAAAGGCGTGACCCAAGGAAGAGGTGGATAAGGCGTTCTTGAGGGAGAATGGATATGTCAGACTGCCTGAGCACCCATGCATATGCATCAGTTGTGTCCCTGTGCCTGCAACAATTCCGCTTATAGTATTTCCCCCTTTGTATTTGATTTTTTATAAGTCATTAAATCTATCTGATTTGTAGATAAGGTAATCAAGATGCAGAAGTATATTAATTGGTAGAGATACAAGTAGAAGTGAATGTAGAATATGCACCTTCCTGTCTCTCAATAAGTACTTTGTCAGTTGCAGCTTAAAGCATTTTACGAAATTGTCCCTCCTGTATGTCTAAAGTGAAAGTCGTCCTATTTCATCCTTTTTCGATTGGCCTCACCTTTTCCCGTCTCAAGTCTCGTCTCTCGTCCTTAGCAGTTGCGGTAGGGAAGACGTATCCTTTGTGGAGTACATAAGGTACTGCGATGCCTTTTCTGCTGATGCATTTTTGGCCCATGAAATGAGAATTAATGAACACGGCGTTGAAAAGGGTAATAAACCATCCATTTTAATGCTTAAGGTACACTGAGCGCGTTAGTCATATACGCGAATGTGATATTTGCATGTGAAAGTTCATGGTTAGTTATATAGGCTGGGGAGGTAGAGAGGTAGAATACGAGGTTGATGAGAAGAGTCTGTATCTAGCATGAATAAAACCGGGGTGAGGTAGAGAGAGAGCTAAGAAGATAGATAGAGATAATTGTAAATATGAGTATTTGGAAGGGCGAAAAGAGGTAGAGGAGAAAGAAAAAAGAACCGGGTTAAATGGACCAAGAGTGGAGAAGAGGGAGAAAATACCGCTGAAGCACAATTAACTCAAGGATGTCATCGATGAGTAGCTGTATGAATAAAAGAATGAATGAATGCTCTTAACAAATCAGTTTACTCGAATCACCAAACTTAGTGAAAAGCTCTTTTACGTACTTCCTGAACTCTCGGTCATTTACATAGATTTTAAGTATTGAACTCCTTGGTCCTTTTTGCTTGAATACGCTCAAACAAATGGGGAGAAAGTGTAAAAGAGAAATTATCTCTTCTGGGATACCTGCAGCCATCAAAAATGTTTATTTCTCTAATTTTTCAATGTTCACATTTTTAAAACTCCAGCTTTTAAGTCATTAAATCCAGTAACTTTTTAGAGATTTACACTTAATTGAAGATCTTCGAGCGTGGTGTGGACTTCTGCTCCTGTTACGTCTCTCCTTACTGGGTTATA